TTGGGGAAAAGGACTCCATCTCTTGCGAGGAGGGACCTGAAGAGTTTGTGGCCGGATTACTCTCCTTCGGGCCTCATTCTGGACCCGATACTTATATTCCTCTCGTGTGTAAAACAGCCTCACCCCCTCCCAGCAACCCTAAAAGTATCATCCAATGACTGCACAAGGCTCAAAGTTGGCATCTTATCGTCGGCATTAACATAGGACGCAGATGAGACTCCCTGGGGTGACTTCTTTTGATCCAAACGCTTGTGAACTGAAAGGTAAGTTTTGGGTGCTCGCCCCATACTCCCAGTATATGAGGGAAGGATGAGGACAAGATGACCACAGACAACAATCCCATTTAAAAAGAGGGAAAAGCTACCAACACCTAGTGATGCCTCCATAGATATTCTGGAGTCCTGTGGGCCACATGCTGCTGGGCCTGCTTCTTCTGGGAGTGACTTGCCTTCTGCTTTGGGTGCGGTGTCTGTGTTAAGGGGTTAACAAACCACATACAAGCTGGGCTCGGAGGCTCAGCTTATCATCCCACGCCTTGGGAGGCTGAGGTGAGTGGATTGCCTGAGCCTGCGGGTTCGAGACCCGCCTGGGCCACTTGGGGCGACCTCATCTCTACAATAAATCAAAAATTAGCCGGGCGTGTCAGCATGCGCCTGTAGTTCAGGCTACTTGGAAGGCTGAGGCGGAAGGATTGCCGGAGCCCAGTGGGTTGAGGCTGCAGTGGTCAGGAGCGGCCACTGCCCTCCAGTCTGGGTGGCAGAGTGAGACTCCAACTCAAAAAAACAAAGCAAAACAAAACTAACCACATACAGCCTATGGGCCAAATCAGGCATGTGGCCTGTTTTTGTATTGTCTTTGTATCATCCTTGAGCTAAGAGTGTTTCTTACATGCTTAAAGGCTTTAACAAGCAAAACAAGCCAACAGCAACAACAGCAAAGAACCATAAGTGGCAGAGATTGTAAGTGGCTCACAAACATTTAGTCATCTGGTCCTTTATAAAAACAAGTCCCCTGCTCTAGGGGTCTTTTCATAGCCCCTGGATTCTTGGTTTGACATTTCGAGATATAGTCTCTTTTCTGAAACAATGGCCTGTGTTTGTAGCTGAGTAACTTTCTCAACCTTTTCCTACCCGCAGGAAGTTGGCAGATCAGAGGCTTCTGTTCATCTTGAACTGTCTCAGTCCCTTTTAGTCAAGGCGGGGGTACACCTTTCTCAAAACATTGTGGGTTTCCAACGTATCAGATTCTCGTCCGCTCCACTGGGAACTCTTTCTTGAGAGAGTTCACTGCGGGCAACTGTGGGTGTTCTGTGTGGCTGTGCCTTCGCGATTCTCAGCAGCCCTTTGGTCAAGCTGAGGACATTTGCTGAACAACAACTTAGATTTTCCTGGGGTCATTGCAGAGAGTTACAGATACGTCCTTGATGTCATCTTTATCCTGAAGGCTTTTTTTTTTTTTTACTTTGAGAATTGTTTGTTGGTTGTCAAGAGCAGAGATGAGAAAGTTTTATTTTCCAATACAGCGAACCATAGGCCTCTAACACATTGACTAAATTCTGCTGGGAAGCTGAGCATTTCCCTCTTTATTTCTCTCTCAGTTCCTTTCCCATCTCTCAGTTTCCTTTTTCTCTCTCTCTTCTTGTACCTTATCGTACAAACCTTAAAAAAGCCAATTGATACTCTCAGCAGTGTTCATGGAAATCATCTTAGCTGGATTCCCAAGTTCTACGGGTACATTTTCTCCCGAGTTACTACCAGCAGCAGTTTTCCCAGTTGTTTCGCTGCTGTCTAATATGGGTCTCTCATTTTCTCTCCTTGCTAATAGTTCATTTGCTGTTTTTACAAGTGTTGCTAAGGTTCCTTACTAGTCTCCTGACCTCTACTTACCAGTGCTGTACCTTTTAGGGGTTGGCCACTGTAATACCCAACCTCTGGTACTAATTTTTTTTGGTATTAATTAGTCTTTGCTGTATAAAAACCACTGAAAAAACCCAATGGCTTAAAACGGCAACAGTTAAAACCACAATGAGATACCATCTTACATCCATTAGGATAGTTACTATGTAAGAAAAGTAAAGCGGAAAACAACAAGTGTTGGAGAGGGTATGGAAGTTAGAACCCCTGTGCTCTGTTGGTGGGAATGTAAAATGCTGCAGCTACTGTGGAAAACAGTATAGTGTTTTCTCAACAAATTAGAAATAGAAGTACCATATGATCCAGGAACTCCACTTCTGGCTGTATACTGCAAGGAATTGTGAGTCGAGACTCAGAGAGGATAGAAGCAACCCAAGTGTCTGCCAAAGATGAGTGTATAAACAAAAGTGGTATGTACATCCAATGGAATGTTAGCCCTAAAAAAGGAAATTCTTATGTGTGCTGCAACATGGGTAAACACATGGAGGGGCACGATGCTAAGTGAAATAAGCCAATCACAAAGGACAAATGCTAGATGATTCCACTTATATGACCCAACCAGGACATCAAATTCATAGAGACAGAAAGTAGAATGGTGGTTGTCAGGGGCTGAGGGGAGGGAAGGAACGGCTAGTTGTTTAAAGGGTGCGGAGTTTCAGTTTGCAGGATGAAAAAGATGAAAAAATCCTGGAGATGGGTTGCACTACAGTGTGAATGTACTTAACACTGAACTGTACACTTAAAAATGGTGAAGATGGCAAATATTACAAGATGTGTATTTTGCCACAGTTCATAAAAGACAGCAGTTGTCTATTGTGAGTAGGCACTTTGGTTTGGGTTCAAACTGGGCCGTTTTGCTGTTCACATCTGGCTCATTAATGCCTTGAGCCTTCTCCCGGATGGCTAGACCATCTATGAAGGCTTCCTCCACGATCTGTTCACCAGCAGCTCTCGTGGGCTTCTTTGCATGGTGTTTCCAAGAGAGTGAGAGTTGAAATGGTGAATTCTCTTGAGCCCAGGCCTGGAACTTGTACAGTGTAACACCTGCGTTATCCTGTGGGTCAAAGCAAGTCACGAGACCAGCCCAGATTCAAGGGGCAGAGAGACAGAATCTGCCTCTTGAAGGATGTAGCTTCAAAAATTTGTGAATTTTTAAAAAATTTACCAACCTGTACAATTTTTTTTCTAACACCTCTCTCTACATAAAACCATTCGTTTATTTGCTTGTTTATGGCTTATCATCTTCACTAGAATGTAGACAGGGATAGCTCATTTACAGCTGTATCTCTTGCCTCCAGAAGAGTGCTTACACATAACCAAGTACTCAGTAAATATTTGATACGTGAGAAAAATAAAGATTTTACGGAGAAGGGCTTCTGGGGTCCAGTGAACTTGGGAAATGCTCCATGTTTATTGTCTTCTTGAATGTTCTTTGTGCACATTCTCATGTTAAAATCTGTTAAGCCCTGTGGTGTGTGTACTGTTGGCAAACCTAGTTTTTCTGCATTCAGTATAGATATCAGCGTCCTTGGTCTTGATTGTGAGCCAAGAATCCTTCTGAGACTGGGCAGAGCTCAGTGCAGCCAGTTGGCCTTAGTGATGGAGTTGGTTGCAAAGATCCCAGGCCAGGCCACCTCTCCCCTCACCCTTGCCTCTGCATTTCTCTTTGAGCCTGCTCTTTCTCTTACCTTTTCTACTGCCCTGGTCCTTGTGCGGGATGCAGCAGCCAGTTTCTGGGTGGCCTCTCTGCCTAAGAGATCGACCAGGTGTCCTGTGGCATCAGTTGGGTTGAGCGCCTCATCCTGGTTCAGCTGAACATCTTTCAAGTGCCCAGCCCTGGACTGTGGTCTGGAGTCACACCGCATGCACATGGCTGTCCCCAAGGTTACTGGGTAGGGGAGGAAGAGGGGAGGTGACAGAACATTTATGGAAGTTCTGAGAACTGGAGGGTATCGGAAATAGGGTGACAGCCCCACTGGCGTTTTATATGATCCTTTGGGACTGGTGTTCCAGGGAAGATCCTTGGAAAAAAAGCGGCAGCAATGGCCTTTGTGAATCTGGGCTTGTCTTTGACTGTTACAGCCTCCGATGTGTCCTGAGACTCTGGTGCCCGTCGTAGAATGATCCGATCAAAGGCGTCACAGCAGTCAGGCCTCTTGATAGGTATTGCCCAGCTGTTTTTCTGAACATTTGCAAATTAGTTGTGCCACTTTTCACGGTCACCTGCCATGTGAGAGGGACACTTTTTGAGGCACCGTCACTAGCCCTGGACGACAGATTTTTAAATGTGGTGTCTACTCAAGTGCAGAGGTGGAACAGCAGACACTCAACACTGCTAAAAGAGGGAGGGGGAGGAGGAGTGAGGGGCACACCGCAACACCCTGGGTGCCAAGTCCATGGTCAGGGTGCGAGGGCCTGCTTGAAGCCCAGACCTCACCTACGGGCAATTTACTCATGTAGTGAATCCTCACGTGTGTGCCACAGCCCTGAAATTCAACGTATATACAAACCAAAACCTCAGTATTGTCCACCACAGAGGACACTGATCCTGCCATTCCCCTGCTTTGAAAGCACAAGCTCCGCTAGATGGAGGCCATGGTTCCTGGTTTTACCACGCGCGAAGGTGCTCAAGGCCGCCGAGCGGGACGGTTGACACTGGTTGCTTTGGTGAATTTCCTGTTGCATGCATTAGACAACAGTTTTGCAAAAGTAGGACTTGAAAAGTGCATGTCTTAGGGCGTGTTCTCGGAACACGGCACTGCTCATGTCCTTTCATCTTCCTTCTCGAACTTGCTCAAGTACACCCTTCCCCTTGGCCGGGAGAGTTCTCCTCCTCCTCTTCTTCCTCCTTCCTCTTCCCTCCTCCCCGCTCTCCAGCTCTTCGGACGCCGCTGCGGTGTGACCTTCCCCGGCAGCTTCCTTCAACCCTCTCCCCACCCCAGGCCAGATGAGGTGTCCCCTGAATTCTGATGACACCCTTCTCTCTTGGCAGCTACCATTCTGCACAACGATCACTGACTTATCAGAAGACATGCTGCTTTTTCCTCCCTAACCATATTTTCCTGCTCTCCTTTTATCTTTGAACAGGTGTCAATTCCTTCCAAGTCTACATGGCCTATAAGGATCTCTACCAGATGTCCGACAGCCAGGTAGGTCCCCACGCTCGGCCTCTCCTGTGCTGCCTGGGCAGGCCCGGGCCAGCTTTGTCTGTCCAGGCAGCTCAGGGCAAGAGAGACGGTGAGAGCTGGCAGGGAGCACTCTGCCCTCAAGCCCTCGCTCTGGCACTGAGTTGCTCTGGGACCTTTGTCCGTCATCGCCCCTCCTGGGCTTCCGTTCCCTTCTGTCTAAGTGGGGTGGGTGGGGGATTACTGGCTTGGTGGCTCTCAAATCTGACTCATCTGTGGGAGCACGCGCTCCCAACACGGATTCCTAGAGTGCGTGGCGGATGTCGGGTGTAAGGCTCAGGCGCCTGCCTGTCCTCAAAGCTCCGCAGTGGGTTGTGCATGCGGGGGGAGGGGACACGGGTTATTCGCTCTGACACGGGTGGGAGCCCTGGCCTGGGCTAGTCACCTCCTTTCTCCGTTTTCTCGCCCACGTGGTGTCATGTCTCCATTCCAGTCACACATCAGACAGTTGCTGCACAGATACAGTGAGCTAAGGAGGACCCACCGTGCTGATGGTGGTTCTCGGGGTGCAGGGGTCACTTGGACCGACCTTTCGCCCTGGATGTCCCGGGTACCGTGTTTTGGTGCCACTTCCTTGTCCTCGGCCGGTTAGTGTCGTGGAGGAGTCCAGAGGCTAGAGGCAGACTCGCCGTTCCGGCTGCTTGCTGTGCAGCCAGGAGTGGCTTTCCCAGCCTCTCTGTGCCTTAGGCTTATAATAGCACCAGCCTCAAAGAGGTTGTCAGAGGACTGGGTTATTTAATGTAAGTCAAGTGCTAGGACAGTGCCTGGCCAGCGTGGTGCCACCTGCATGTTAGCGGGCTGCTACTGGTTATTACCGCAGCGTTAGACCAGCAATGGGAGCATCACTCCATGTCCTGCCTTTCCAGTAAACGCCTGGGGTTATAGACAGTCGCTCAGAGATGCCTTGGAGGCCTTTGATGCAGTCAGCATTCGAAGAGCTGCAGAGTCATTCTGTTTCCTGGAAAAAGCTGCCTGTGACGTGGTGGCGTTTCACCTGTTTCGTTCTAACCACTGAAGTCCTGGGAGCACACGGGATGGTGGCCTCTGGGTGGGGGTTCCCAAAAGAGCTCTGTGCTTCCACACTTCTCCCTGTGCTGTCTACACCTGAAACGCCTCGATAGGCGTTAGCATTCAAGTGCCCCTAGAGGGGCAGCTTGGTGGCTTTGGCCCTCACCAGGGACAAATGCCTGGTGGCAGATTCTTCTCAAGTAGGAAGAGGACACCAGGCAGGGCCTGTCTTGACTGAGATGGTGCTTGGCATGGTGTATGTTATTTGAGTACTGGAGTTACAGAGCTTGTTTCCCCCACCCCACTGTTGTCTATAAAATGACACGGGCTCAGTTTTTTGTTAGAGACAGGGTCTCACTCTGTCACCCAGCTGGAGTGCAGTGGTGTGAACATAGCACGCTGCAGCCTCGAACTCCTGGGGTCAAGGGACCCTCCCGCCTCAGCTTCCCAAGTGGCTGGGACCATAGGCATGCCACCCTACCTGGCTATTAAAGACAAATTGTGGAGTTAGGGTCTTGCTATGTTGCCCAGGCCAGTCTTGAACTCATGGCCCCAAGTGAATCTTTCTCCTCAGCCTCCCAAAACCCTAGGATTTTACAGGCTGAGCCACCACCACACCTGGCCATGGCTCAAATTTTTGTAAATGTGTGCCCGTCCCTTGTGGCACGTGGGTGGCTAGAGAGTAGGCTGAGCAGATTCAGTGACACAATTTCAGCAAAACTAAAAGTGACTTCTCAGCACCGGTTGTCACCACCACAAGTACAAGCATCTCAAGGAGCCAAGCCGAAGGCACAGGTGGGCGCCGAGAATGAGGACATCATGCCGTGGTGTTACCTGATCAGTCAGTCCTGCCTCACTCCAGCCTCTGGCCTTTGATCTGGAAGGCGTCAGGGCCAAGGGATGGTCCTTTCCTGGTCTGACGTGTAGAGCAACACATCCCAGTGCCGTGAGCAGAGGAGCCAGGCTGTGTCTGCGGGGCCAGCGGGTGGGCGGCTGCCTGGCTGTGAGCAGAAGGGCAGGCTTTGTGCGCGCACGTGCTGGGATGGGTCCGTCCGCCCCAACCCCTGTTTCTCTCTCCTCAGCTCTATGAAACCTTCACCTTCCTCAAGGGGCTGGGAGCTGTGATTCTGGTCCATGCAGAAAATGGAGATTTGATAGCTCAGGTGAGTGCTGTGAATTTCCACCCGTTCCGTCTCAATCTGCTTGTCCTCCTTGCTGAGGGTGTGAGGACAGGGCCTTGGTGCGTGCGGTGACAGGGCCGCAAAGGGCCAGACGGAAACCCGGGTGTGACATCAGACACCCCAGGTGAGAGCCACTCACACGCCGCTGGCAGCCCACCTTGCCTCTAGAGTCTCCGTGTTCTCCCTTGTGCGGTGGGGAGGAGGCAGCCGCTCTGTGGACCTGGGAGGGTCTGGATGAGGGACCCAGAGGATCTGGACGAAAATGCTCACAGACCTGGGGATGCTGGAGCCGCGCCTGTGGAAGTGCAGTGTCTGTTGTCTTAGGGGTTGGGACTCGGTGGAGTGGACGGGCCCGGGCTTGGGGCTGGTATGCTGGTCCAGCCACCTCCGTCTCCCAGCCGGGTGACCTTGGACGAGGACGCTGACCCAGCGAAGACTCATTTTCCGTTCAGAAACATCTGCCTGGCAGTGTGTTGTGAGGATCAGATGACAGCATGCCCTGAGGTGTGAACGTGTGCCCCAGAAGTTCATGTTTCGAAATCGTCATCTCTGAGTTCTTATGTGGATGGTATTTGAGGTCGGGCTTTGGGTGAGGATCAGGATTGGATGGGATCGTGAGGTGGAGCCCGTGACGGGGTTAGGGGCTGTAGAAGGAGAGGGAGAGAGAGCTGAGCAGGCCTGCTCTTGCCCTCTCTCTGCGTGATGCCTTCTGCCATGCTGTGAAACGGCAGGAAGGCCCACAACAGACGCCGGCACCTTGGGGTTGGACTCCCCAGCCTCCAGAACTCTGAGAAATAAATGTCTTCTCTGTGTCTGTTGCCCAGTCTATGCCCTTCTGGGCTAGCATTAGAAAACAGACGAAGACATCGCATGGGTGAGGTTCAGTGTCTGGCAAGCGTGTGTCAGACGTTGTGTAGAATGAGATGCGAGCACTTTTTTGTCGTACCCTTAGCTCCAAGGGGGCTTTACGTTCCTCGAGGGGCTGGGAGCTGTGATCTTAACCCTGGCCACAGGGTGGAAAGCTTGATGGGAAAAGAAAATGTCAGGGGGGTGACCAGCCAGGTTCAACTCCAGCAATTCTAACACGTCGTGAAGAGAGAAGCTGGAGAGAGGAGGCAGAAGCCGTGAGAGTGGGTAGGAGGGAAGCCCAGTCTGCTGGAGTCGTGGGTGGACTGGATGGGGGAAGAAGAGAGGGAGATCAGGGCGGCCTCTGGGTCTCTGGCGCTGAGCCCTGGACTGGCACCAGTGCCAGAAATCAAGACCAGGCATACAGGGAAAGGCTTGGGTGCAGCCAATATCGGTAGCTGATGCCAGGCACCCTGTGATACTCATCACTACTCTGTAAGGTAGATATAATCACCCCATTTTATAGCTAGGGAAACCGAGGCTCAGGTAGGAATAACTTGCTCACGGTCACACGTAGCAGTAGAGCTGTGATGTTACTCGGTTCCGACTGGTCAAAGCCTAGTGGTAAAACAGCTAGATGGTTAAGTGCTTTGGCTCTGAAGCATCACCACTGAGGTCCAGCTATTGACTTTCCTTCTTCTTATCTTCCGGTGTCCTTGCAGGTTTTCTGCAGAACGGACATTCTTTCGAGTTCAAAGTGAAAAAACAAACAGTGCTTCAGTCCCATCATGCAACAGTATACTGCTCATTGGTAGCAGGTCACTAAGTCCAGCCCACGCTCAGGAAGGGATTATACAAGGACACAAATACCAGGAAGTGAAGATCCTGGGGTCCCACATCCAAGACTGACTCCAGTCTGTCCCCATGGTCAATGTCCCTGTGCAAAATACAATCGCCGCCTTCGTAGCGTTCCAGAATCTCCCAACTGCATTGGCTCAGGTCTGGAGTGGCATGGTCTGCTTCAGGTCTAGGTGTGGGTGAGGCTTCTTGGCTGTACTTCCTGTAACCTGCAGGTCTGTGAAGCCGGAGGGACGGTATCTGCCCGCCCTCTCAACACACACATTCAGTGGGCGCGGGGCAGGCATTCCCGGTCAAGGGGAAAGTGGGAGTGGCATTACGGAGTCCTGGTTTCCAGCAGGCCTGACGTGCAGCCAGGCAGGTGTTGGCAGTGCCTTGACGGGTCTCGAAGCTCCTGGCTCCACCTTCTGGGCTCTTGGTTCCATCCTCTGAGTCATCCGTCCTTTGCCGTGAAAGATAGCACATGTTTGCAGCTGAGTGGTTTTCTCAACCTTCTGCCCGGTAGGATTTGGGGGGTCCATCTGTCTGCTTTCACATCTTCATTCCCTTCAGCCTAAGCTTGCAGTGTTTCGCTAAAGGGATCCGCCAAAAGCTTGGTGGGCCTCCTGTGAATCCCCTAGGAGCCCAGTGACACATCCTTCAGCCTCCCAGAGTCCCTGCTGTTTGACCGAGGGGACCCACAGGCCACCTTGAGTCTCTGTAAAGGGGCTTCACTGTGACTGAATGATCCTCAGAGGCACCAGCCTTCATCTTTCTGAGTTCTTCACGAAACTTTGTAGAATCGCACCCATACTTTTTTCTGGGCGTGCTGTAAGATTTGAGATTTTCTCAGAAGCTGCTTCTTAATTGTATGTCTTTTGCACTTTGGAGAGGCTTTTGCCACGTTCATCAGAAGTGAGGTGCAGGGTCCAGCCCGTGCTCCAGGGAGGGCATCCTGCGAGGACCAGGAGATGGGACCCTTGGGAGCCATCCTAGGAGTTGCTCACCATACAAGTCTTGGCCGATGGTAGGCTTCGTACACGTGGAAGCCTCCGAGAGGGGCTCTTTTACGTCTGCCCTCATTCACTCAGTCCTGGGAGAGTGGGATTCCCCCCGGTCCGGTGTAGGGGCAACCTTTTCTTTTTTGTCACGGTGTAGAATTCCACTGCGTGAACATATCTCAATTAATTTTCCCGTGGTCGGATGTTTGTGTAGTTTCAAATTTTGGACTGTTAGGATCGGAGCTTCCGTGCACATTCCTGTCCAGCCTTTTGCTAAACATAGGTTCACGTGTGTGTGAGTGTACACCTAGGTGTGGAGTGGCTGGGCGTAGGCTACAGGGGCGTTCTGTGCTAGTGGTTACCGCTGCACAGTGCTCCAAAGTATCCCTCCGTGCACGCCATTGCCCGTGTGGGAGAAGAGGGTCCGGTCTGCAGCCCTCAGCTTCCGAGCCGCACATCCAAGGCTGGGCTTTCTTCGCTGCCAGCCGGAGATTTCCCTGTTTCAGCTCCAATACATGTCACCTGTTGGACACCTGCTCGCCAGCATTCAAGATTTTGTTCCTGTCTTCTTCAATGCCCTGTTTTGGTTCTTGTGTGTCTTTTTCCTGTTGCTTCAGCAGGGTCCTGGAAAGGGGTAAAAGCAGGCAAGTACTTAGCCCATTGACTTCATCTAGGAATCCTGCGCAGGTCTCTGTGTCCCTCATGATGTCATCTTTTGCCCAACCTCCCCTCTCCCCTCCCTCCCCCCCTCCC